GCCGCTGTTGGAAATAGCGCACATGGCCAGAGCCTGGAGGCCTTCAACAGGCTCCCTGCCCCAATGCAGTGGTTATCAACCAGAGGCACACGTACCCCTGGGGTACACCGAGCAAAGGTCTTCTAATCTAGGGCGTACATCAGCTCCTCTAGATATTTGCCTAGTTTTACAACAGGCTACGTGAACTAGACTTATGTCAACACGAACTAAAATTTGATACAGATGACTTGTTTCTACTGCTCTGTACGCTGAACTGTGCGTACAATATTTATAGTCCAGTGATTTTATTTTATAATTCGATGGTAAAGAGGAGCAATTGTTCAGTACTAGTGTGGCTGTGACACTTTTGTGTTTTTATGTCTGAGTTTTGTAAGTAAGTCGTTTTTAAATGAGGTGAAACTTGGGGGTGCGCAAAACAAATCCGACTCCCGAAAGGGCTACAGTAGTCTAGAAAGGCTGAGAGCCACTGCGCTGATGGTTTCAGTATAGATGAGCTTTGCTCAGTGCTCATCGCCTCATCTGGTTGGAAATCAGGCCAGCAGCCCCAGCCCTCCTGGCTGGTAATCAAGCTCACCAGCACTCAGATAGATTAAAGATGCTCTAGTTTTAATATGGCTTCTCTAATTGCTGCACTTTTAATTAATTTCTCATACCCAACCCCCTCTGTGTATCACAGCAGCTCTGCCGGTGTAAAATACCAAGTCCCTCCCCCAAGGACCTTTCACAGGTCATGCACTGGCTCTTTCATATAGGTGAGCACTTACGTTGCACAACTGAAAGGCAGCTGGGTAAAGGTCAGTACAAAAAGCTTTTTTGTTATTTTTTCCTTAGAGTACATATTGCAGAAGTGTTTTCTCCAAAGGAAAGTGACACTGTTTCAGTCCCTGGAGCCCATTCTAGTCACTTTTAAGAGACTGCACCCCCTGCTATTAAACTCTATAACTAGTTCCCAAAGGTCAAATGCTTCATTTTATGGCAGTAAAACATAACTGAGAAAAGTCCTCTGAACAACTTCAAAAGGAAGTGTCCATTTCTTAAGTGGGTCACAGTGAAACTTTACCTGCTCTATAGAGGCATGGTGTGAACATAATATTGGGCCGCTGGCACATACTGGTTCTAATTCTGTCCAACACTCATCCAGCACCTCTTTTGACTTGGGCAGATCCATTTTCAATTTCCTCTAGTTTTGAATAGCAAACTTTAGATAGATAGGGCCTGATTTTTGGAGGTCCTCAGCACCATTTACTTCAGTTGGAGTTATTTGTTCAGCACCTCTCAAAATAATGTGACCCAAAATTAAAGGCCATTTTTGAAAATAGGACCCTTACCTATGGCCTGCAGTTTCCACCTACCTGTGAAAGGGGAAGATTTACCTATTATACACTATTCTGAGGATTGGTTAATGCTTGTAAAATGCTCTAAGGATATAAAGACCCATGTGGATGATAAGTATTATCAGCTGGAACCATGTTCTCAAAAAAATATCTTTCCACTTTATTCTGGAGTGAAAAATCCAAATTTTACTATCTTTTTGTTGAAGATTCATTTATTATATGAAGAGACTGACTCCCGAAGTCAGTTACTGGATACTGACATGAGACATTCTGGAGTCCAGTGGAGTTTATATTTCAGACCAAAAAAAAGTATAGAGGGCTCACCGATGCTAGGAAGACTCTAAATAACTTTGGTGTAGTGATTAATTTGGAATGAATGATGTGCTGCCCACCCCACAATCCCCCAAGTCTGCCTTTTCCTATTAGCTTCTTGATGATCCCGTATCCATACTACACATTAAGAAAATGAAATTATTTACACTCTCTTCTATTTAAGTACTTATGATCCAGCTGGCTTGAATGTATTATTTTCTTTATACCCAGCCTATCCCATTAACAGGAGTGGGGGTGGAGAGGGAAATGGCCACAGTAGTAAAACACCTTGATGCCGTAAACTTTTATTAGAGCTTTTCAGACAGGTTGTGAATAAATAATAGTAAAAAATAAAACAAAAAAAAAAACCCATATTGCTGAAAACCGCCCCCCTTCCGGGGGGGGGGGGGGGGGAGGAGGAGGAGGAGAAGTGGCTGGAATGTTAATTAATGAGAGACAAGTCCAGTGTCAACCTTCTTTAGTCATAGTTGCTCCTTGCTTTCATTGTCTATCCCCAGCCTGCGAAGCATGAACAATCCCTTACCAAGTACTTGTCAACATAGTTTAACCAGACCTAAAGAAGAGTTCTGTGTAAGCTTAAAAGCTTGTCTCTTTCACCAACAGAAGTTGATCCAATAAAAGATATTACCTCCCCACCTTATCTGACAGTTAAACTACACCTCTACCCCGATATAACGCTGTCCTCGGGAGCCAAAAAATCTTACTGCATTATAGGTGAAACCGCGTTATATCGAACTTGCTTTGATCCGCCGGAGTGTGCAGCCCCGCCCCCCTGGAGCACTGCTTTATCACGTTATATCCGAATTCATGTTATATCGGGGTAGAGGTGTAAGTCATTTTGAAACCAGTATAGTTAAAATGGTACCATCCCTAGTGTGGACGCTTGTATATCAGTATACAGGTATAAGTACTTTTATAGCTTATCCCCCTAAATATACTGGTATAACTGTGTCCACACTAAGGACTGAACTGATTTAACTACTTTGGTAACAAGTATTCCTCTAACCGAAATAGTTAAATCAGCACAAAAACTGTGTGTAAGCCAGGCCACCAAATTCCTTCAGGTACACACTCCACAAGGTAGTTTCTCCCCATCCATCCCATGACTCATCTCTGCCTCCTCTTGTAGCAGGAATTGTCATCAATACCACTTCATGGATCAAACACAAGAGTAACATAAGACCTTCCCAACTATAAGCAATAAGATCTTCTCTCCCTCTCCCACGCTCTCTGCTAGTTTCCATAGTCCTAGCCAGCAGGAGCCAGAGAGTTTCCCAGTGAGCAGAAAAATGAGAGCATGACCTACACACACCTCCTACCGTGATAGAAGTCTGTATGAGAATTTTATTACAACATTTGGCCATTTGAGACCTTCACTAATAACTAGCAAAGCTACAGTGACGATAAAGTCTGAAGAATAAACATGGGAGTGGAAGGGGGAGAATTACATTTCTGCATCTTTAAAAAAATACAAAAGTAATTTACACATGAGAAAAACCCTTTAAAATTAGTTACAGCAAATTGCTGGGCTACTTTGTGTATCCTCGATATGGGCCTGAGATGTCGACTGCTAGAAAATTTTTGTAACTAAGCTCCCTGGTTATGGAACTTGATTCAAGGCACTATTCCAAGTCTTTAGTCTGTTTCAGAGTTTAAAACAAAGCTAAAGAAATAATCTTTCTGCTGCTTTTAACTGTTCCAAAGAGTGGATCGTTTTAGGTGAATAACTCTCTAAAGCACCCTGTGACTTTAATGTGAAAGATACTACATAAATGCATGATGATGATGTTATAAATCAATGCAAATATGCATTTACAAGGGTTAATTTTGTAATTTTATATAAAAGTTCTTGCCCTTTGAAAGTAACATGATTTTAGCTTCTGCAGGCAGATATATCTGCATGACAGGCAAGGACACTGTTTCTAAGACAATATCGCTCCAAAGGTGGATGCTGAATTACAAAGTTCAATTATCCGAGCCTCACCCCACAGTCCTCACTTCCCAGAAGCTCATGCAGATAAGTTGTTTCCTGTTATTTGCACAAGAACTCAAACTGGGAAGGTCAGCTATCAGCTAGGATTTCTGGATACTCCTCCCAGAACTGGTCCCCAATGATGTCACAGTGCAGTGGGACAGCTTTAGTCCTGGTCCGTGCCACTTCAACTTCCTTCTCTTCACTTTCCTTTGGCAGTTTTATTCTTTTTGTAGTGACTTCGTTAACCTGCAAATATAGTTGACACAGGAGTGCATTTATAAAAGGGTTTTGAAGGTTTCATAAATTGTTGGTTTTGCCTTGTTTACATATTAACAATAAGCCACCACTTTGTCCCCTCTGCCTCATGACACCTTTTAATTTTGTACCAGAACCTGCAAATCTAGGCATATGGTGTCACTCAGGTACCAAAAATAAGTCATACTGAAACAATTTTTCCAGTCAAAACTCATTCCATGCAGGTCATATATTTACAGGGTTTTGCTACTGAATGGATCAGATTACAAGAGTGCCACTAATTAATGCCATACTGATGATTTTCACAGTAATTGTTTCAGGATTCATTTTTCATTCAATATCTACACCTGAAGTTTTTTAGCTTATCACATGAGTATTTTCAGCAAGACAAAAACAAAGATGGCAAGGTGCAGGTGAGCTGTTCGCTCTAAGCCAAACACTGAGATGACATTTCAATATAAAGGCAAGCATCCCCAGGTGTATATATTACTATATGGTGAGACACTCATTAAAGGCATTTATTAATATAATCAAGAGATAGGTATTCATGCATGTTAGCCCGCTGGATAAAGAAACAGTTGGTCATTCTCACATGGTCTGAAGAGAGCACCTACAAATATTTGGAAAGCTGGGAAAGAATATATTCACTTTTATGAAAAAAGTAGATATAAAGCCCCCAGAAGGCCTAATATTTTCAAAGAAAGGGATGTGCAAGAAACAAGGAGACAAGTGGAACACTATGTCAAACCAAGGAGTCTCTCCCTATAATATATCAGTCCTCTTGGTAAAGTGCCATAGAAATCACCAGCCACAAAAGAAAACTGAGTTAGCTATTAGTCATTCTTTTTATATATAACAAAAAGTAAGAACAGTGAGAAAATAATTATGGCAGACTCTCAACCAATATTAGCTAGGCCCTAATCACAAGAAACACACACATGCAAGACTGACTTCTGTAACACATGCATCCACAGAGATGATAATAAGTCTATGCCTAGGTAAACAGTCGTACAGATATTTTATAAGTGAGTCAGATTTCAGACACCAGTTTTCATATTATTCAGTTAGACAGATATATCTATAACACCTCAAAATAACTCATTTTTAACACCTTTTGTTCAAAACCCCCATTTCCTTAGTATCTAGAATTTATCTATAGACAGACAGTCATAGCCACAGAATCTGAGGTCATGACATGTAATGATAAGAAACACCAGGGGTGGGGTTATACTGTGGTTTGTGAACTGCACATAGTTATTATTTATATTGTTGTAGCACCTAGGAGCACTAACCATGGACCTTGGTGCTGTACAAAGAGCAAACGAAAAGACGGTCCCTGCCCCCAAAGAGTTTGCAATTTAAGAATAAGACAACAAATGCTTAAACAGACTGATGGGAGAGTACAAGGAAACAATGAGACAATATTGGCCAGTAGAGTAGGTGGTGGTCCCAGCTCATGAACAGCCTAATTGTTGTCAATATTTTTGTAGGCACCATGGCAAAGGAGAGTTTTAAGGCGGAATCTGAAGGAGAATGAGGTAGTTTTACAAATGTTTATGGGGGGCTCCTTCCAGGTAGGAGAGAAAGCACAAAGCACAGGCCAACTGGAGGCAGGAGTCCACCTGTCTATACTGAATGAGAGATGGTAAGTAGTGTGGGGGCTAGGCATGCAGTTAAGATGCTTTTACCTTCTGCCATATTAGTACAGTTCCTTTCCTATACATCAAGGGCTCATTGTTGTAGTTAATGTTGAATTCAGAAAATAAAATCTCATTCTTTTCTCCAGCCAAAGTTCCCTGAAATTGAGAAAAAGACAATAAAAAGTGCACCTTATAGCCTAAATTTATTTATAAATGTCCTTTTTTATAGCACAGAAACAAGTGGGGTAAATGTGTACATGCATCTGACGAAGTGGGTATTCACCCATGAAAACTAATGCTCCAATACATCTGTTAGTCTATAAGGTGCCACGGGACTCTTTGCTGCTTTTATGTATGCAGGGTTTTTTTAATCTTCAAACAACTTTATTAACTTATTATCCTCACAGCATCCCCATGAAGTAAGTAAGCGTTATCTCCTTTGGTAAAATGGGGATAGATAAGCAGAGCAAGATGTGTTCTTCTTGATTTTATTAGGGCTGTCAAGCGATTAGACAAATTAATAGCGATCATTTAAATATTTTTGGATTTTTCTACATTCAAATAGACTGATTTCTATTACAACACAATACAAAATATACAGTGCTCACTTTATATTTATTTTTATTACAAGTATTTGCTCTATTAAAAAAATAGTATTTTTCAATTCACCTAATAAAAGTTCTGTAGTGCAATCTCTTTATCATGAAAGTTCAACTTACAAATATAGAATTATGTACAAAAATAACTGCATTCAAAAATAGATGTAAAATTTTAGGGCCTACAAGTCCACTCAGTTCTACTTTTTTTTCAGCCAATCACTCAAACAAACAAGTTTGTTTACATTTGCAGGAGATAATGCTGCCCGCTTCTTCTTTACAATGTCACCTGAAAGTGAGAACAGGCGTTCTTGTGGCACTGTTGTAGCCGCCATCGCAAGCTATTTATGTGCCAGACGTGCTAAAGATTCATATGTCCCTTCATGCTTCAACCACCATTCCAGAGGACATGCGTCCATGCTGATGATAGGTTCTGCTCAATAACAATCCAAAGAAGTGCAGACCGACGCAGGTTCATTTTCATCATCTGAGTCAGATGCCACCTGCAGAAGGTTGATCTTCCTTTTTGGTGGTTCGGGTTCTATAGTTTCTGCATCAGCGTTGCTCTTTTAAGACTTCTGAAAGCATGGTCCACACCTCGTCCCTCTCAGACTTTGGAAGGCACTTCAGATTCTTAAACCTTGGGCCAAGTGCTGTAGCTATCTTTACAAATCTCGCACTGGTACCTTCTTTGCTTTTTGTCAAATCTGCAGCGAAAGTGTTCTTAAAGTGAACAACATGTGCTAGATCATAATCCGAGACTGTTATAACATGAAATATATGGCAGAATGCGGGTAAAATAGAGCAGGGGATATACAATTCTCCGCCAAGGAGTTCAGTCACAAATGTAATCAACACATTATTTTTTTAACATGGAAGCATGTCCTCTGGAATGGTGGCCGAAGCATGAAGGGACACATGAACATTTAGCATAGTGGCATGTAAATACCTTGCAATCCAGCTACAAAAGCGCCATGCAAATGCCTGTTCTCACTTTCTGGTGACACTGCAAACAAGAAGAGGCAGCATTATCTCCTGTAAATGTAAACAAACTTGTTTGTCTTAGCGATTGGCTGAATAAAAAGTAGGACTGAGTGGACTTGTAGGCTCTGAAGTTTTACATTATTTTGTTTTTGAGTGCACTTATGTAACAAACAATCTACATTTGTAAGTTGCCCTTTCAGGACAAAGAGATTGTACTAAAGTACTTGTATGATGTGAACTGAAAAATACTATTTCTTTTATCATTTTTATAGTGAAAATATTTTTAATAAAAAGTAATATACACTTTGATTTCACTTACAACACAGAATACAATATATATGAAAATGTAGAAAAACATCCAAAATATTTAATAAATTTCAATTGGTATTCTATTGTTTAACAGTGCGATTAAAACCGTGATCCATTTTGTTAATCGTGATTAATTTTGGTGAGTTAATCACGGGAGTTAACACAATTAATTGACAGCACTAATTTTTATATTTGTACACAACGAAATAAGGTGGGGAACACCACCCTGTAAAGGCAAGAAGAGGAGAACGAGATGAATAAAGTGACCTGCCCAAGACCACATACTGAATCATTGTTAGAGCTGGGATTAGACTTCAAGAATTGCTGACTCACAGTTTTACACCCATACCACATCTCTTTTGAGGCCAGTAACATTTCATATACACATTTTTAGGCATCTGAAGCCATTAATTACGAAGTTAAAATCCTGTTTGGATTCTAATTAAAGTAAATTCTTTGCCAGTCAGGTTAAGATCTTTTCAACTCAACAGCAAAACAGAAATCCAAAACCAACATCATCTCCAGAGAAAAACAAGCACATACTGGGAAAAATGAATTGGTATACGGTGAACATATAAGCCATCTGGCCTTCCCTAATGAACAAAACATGTCTGCATAGGGCTGGGTAATTGGAAGTACTTGGCAACTGGGTTCTGTGTATGTTCCCTGTACATAGTTGATGTTAAAAGACAATGAATTTAGAAGAGGTTCCTACCTGTAATCTGTCTTGTGCTTGGACTGGTGTCAAGCCACTTCGCTGCACAAGCATCCAAAACACTGTATTATAGAGGTTATTAATGTGGCCTGCAGAAATAGGAAATGGTGTCAAAGGACAAACAGACTATTTGCAAAGTCGAGATGACTTGTCACAGAATGGTTTTCCATTCCCACAAATTCCTGCAGCTAGATTTTTAAAATACCATTAGTAATATTTGTAGTTATGTAATATCATTGTAATCCAATCTCACGCTTTATGGCATACTGGATCTCTGGAATGGTCAGAAGATTGATTCCTCACAGCTACATAAAGTATTTCATAATTGTTAAGTAAGATGCATTATGGCAGACGGAGTTCACCTTCCTCTGAAACAACAGGTGTTAGTCACTGCCACAGGTTTGATACTAGCTTTGCAACAATGACCTGATCTGGCATGGAAAATCCTATATTCATCATTTGACTGTTGTAATTTTGCTACACAATATTGCTGAATCAGAATGTTTATACCTCTCAGTTAAAAAAAAACATTCAAGTGATGTTTCTAAAATTTCTGGTACTGACTCATTTTCAGTATTTTAGTGATGACAATCCGGTATCTGCTATGGATCCCATGTTATTAATGGGTGTGCTTGTAAAAATAATATGAGTATTAACACATAAAATATGTAACGTCACAGATAACACGTTGCTCTTTCTAAAACAGTGTCAGTGGAAGTTAAAAGGGTAATAAAAATACAAATTGGGATGTTTTTGGAAAATTATTGTAGAATGTAAAATAATCTGCTTTCTAAGAACATCAACCAACTCTTCTGCAGCTTAACAGATCCAAGGATGTGTTTTTAACCAAATAAACTAGAATCCCTCTGCCATGCAGCAGCTTCTTTTTCACTGAGTGCACATATGCACGCTGGCAATAAGGGGTTCGAGGTTTTCATCCCAGGAGGAAAAAAACACCCAACAGTTATAAATTGTTATGCTAAAAATCAACTGTTCTCGTTTTCCTGATATCTAAAGATGCTTACAATCTGCTTGTCTCCAGCTGAGATAGTCCTTTAAATTCTGGTTACTGGGATACAAGACAACTCGTCCATCAAATCCTGGTGGATACAGGAGTGGCTGGTCCTTAAAATAATCCTTCCAGTAGAAAACATAACTGGAGGCAAACTGGGAGACGACGTGAGTCATGAACTTACTTGCAAACGCAAAGCCAACAGACACAGAGAGAGGAGAGAGACAGAGAATACATTAGATATTAAAAGAACTCTACCTTTCTATCTGTAATTATTTGGGTATCAGTGGTAAGGCTTCTGGTGGACAGCAGTGCTTTTCA